CTGAGATTGCTCGAATTTCTAATCTAGTTTTGAGATTTATGCCCGAAAAACTTTCTTTCGGGGCTACGAGGCTGCCCCCTCTGACCCCCCCCTTCGGCTATTCCACTGAATCAGGATATACTACTTGCCCCTCCAAACAAGACTCTTTTGAAATCTTGATTTTGTCTTTAAAATTTTTGGAGAATAAGACAATAAGTTCAAATTTGAAAGATTAATTTCCACTTTTATAAAACTTAAAATTTTCTGGTTTTTGTCTTTTTTGTCAAAACAATCCACGATTTTTTTCATTTCCGAATTATTTTTTTAGTTGCCAAGTTACAAGAATTTTAAAGGAACGATAGATGAAATAAGTGATAATAACAGATACCTCGTTAGTGGTGAGATATCGATACTGGATGATAATTCTATAGAAATATCAGAGTTACCTATCAGAACTTGGACTCAGGCTTATAAAGAAGATGTTTTGGAGCCAATGTTACACGGTACTGATAAAATAGCAGCCATGATAACGTAAGTTATTTATTTTCAAAGAATTTTAATTTTGTTTTAAAGCCCTGGTTCCCAACCTGGGTTGTTTTCACCTCCTGGGAGTGTGGGACTAGGGTGTCCAGGGGTGTGACCAACTGGTGTAAAAGAAGAATATGTTTTCAACTGAGAGAGCATCTCACATCACATGCTGGAAATGTGGATGAAGCAAATTTTTGGGGGTGATTGCTCCAGGGGTGTGAAGGCTGAAAAAGGTTGGGAACCACAGCCTTAAAGAGACAGGTTCGCCTTCCGTTAGACCAATCGGAACTTAGTCTCAGAAACGAGAAAAGACAGAAGTGATTATAAAATAACAAAAATATTTGAACTATTTCAGTGATTATAAAGAATACCATACAGAATCAACGGTGAGATTCGTCATCAAAATGTCACCGGAAAAACTGGCCCAGGCAGAAGCTCAAGGTCTACATAAAGTTTTTAAAATCCAATCCAATATTTCAACACAATCTATGGTGAGTGAAAAAGATTTGTGGTTTTGATGGATCTCATGTCTTACTTCTTTAGCAGGCTAATGTTGCTGTCCTGGCAAAATTTCCCTCATCTCACACTGCATGGCATTGCCTGTCTTCATTAGTCCACATGGTACAGAAAAGTAGGACGTAAAACTCCATTCATTTCATTTTATTTTACTACTGAGGCATGTTTTTGAATTGTAAGTACTTGATGGACCACATATCTTACTACTGAGGCAGGCTAATGCCAATGTCCAGGCAAAATTTCCCTCATTGCACCCTGCATGACGTTGCCGTCAAACATTTCAAAGCACCTTGTCTACAAGGGTGTGCGCACAATATTTACAAATATTCAAAAAAGTTGAGTTGTGCACGATCGAAAAAAATAGGTTGGGAAGAATTCAAAATGGCGGAGTAAGAAATAGATGGGAAATATTGAATTTGACATATTTGGCTTCCAAACGGTTCGATTGAGGTCAGAATTTGAACAGACAGAACCTGTTCAGAACTCGCTAATCGCCGCCATCAATTTTACACCATGTAAACTCACTGTGTTTTTATATTTTAGGTTTTATTTGATCATATGGGATGTATCAGAAGATACGAGTCAGTTTTAGATGTATTGAAAGATTTTTACGAACTTCGTTTGAAATATTACGGCAAACGTAAACATTTCATGGAAGGGATGTTGGCTGCGGAATCATTGAAATTAGATAACGTAGCAAGATTTATCCTAGAGAAGATCGAAGGAACCATTGTTATTGGTAAGTTATTTTGGGTTGTAAAAGTAAAGATTAAGTGAAATGTTCGTTTTTTATTAGCTTTTATTTTTATTATAACCACTTCGGTTAAATATCCCTTGACAGTTGGAAATCAAAAAAGAGCAGGCTAATGTCACTGTCCTGGTAAAATTTCCCTCATTGTACACTGCATGACTATAACTTTCGAGTAACCGAGGCCCTGTGTGCTACAGTCTGTGCACATTAAAGATCCCTCGACAGTTGGAAATCGAAAAAGAGTAGGCTAATGCCACTTTCCTGGCAAAATTTCCATCATTGTACACTGCATGGCGTTGTCTGTCTTCATTAGCCCACATGGTGCAGAAAAGTAGGATGTAAAACTCCATTCATTTCATTTCTTTTTTTGCCAGGTTTCTTGTTAATTTACAACTCTTATCAGCTGTGTAATATCTAATTATTTTTATTGTAGAAAATAAGAAAAAGAAGGAGATTATATCGATGTTAACCAGACATGGATACGATAGTGACCCCATCAAAGCTTGGAAAGAAGCTATTAGCAAGGATGTGGTTAGTATGGTCTATTCTCTAGGCGATAGTCCAGTCATAAAACCCTTAGTTTTAGTAGAATTGCAAGTACTATAGATGTTTATTCTTATAAAGAGATTGTAAAGAGGTTTTCTAAATTTTTTATGTATATCAGGGACACTGATAGCATCAATTTACATCATTCTAATTTTCAATCAGACGTCTGTGGTTCTTGTTAAAGAGATTGTAAAGAGGTTTTCTAAATTTTTTATGTATATCAGGGACACTGATAGCATCAATTTACATCATTCTAATTTTCAATCAGACGTCTGTGGTTCTTGTTAAAGAGATTGTAAAGAGGTTTTCTAAATTTTTTATGTATATCAGAGACACTGATAGTATCAATTTACACCATTCTAATTTTCAATCAGACGTCTGTGGTTCTTGTTAAAGAGATTGTAAAGAGGTTTTCTAAATTTTTTATGTGTATCAGAGACACTGATAGTATCAATTTACACCATTCTAATTTTCAATCAGATGTCTGTGGTTCTTGTTAAAGAGATTGTAAAGAGGTTTTCTAAATTTTTTATGTGTATCAGAGACACTGATAGCATCAATTTACATCATTCTAATTTTCAATCAGATGTCTGTGGTTCCTGCAATTCCACTAAAACTAAGTGTTTGATGACGTCACTAATCACAAAATATGCTTTATCATATGTGAACTTAAGTTGTTATCCTTGTAAAATCAATACCAAGAGGTTTGAGCAAGGATCAGCTGGTAGAAAGGATCATTGTGAACCTAAGTTGTTATCCTTGTAAAATCAATGCCAAGAGGTTTGACCAAGGACCAGCTGGTAGAAAGGATCCTTGTGAACCTAAGTTGTTATCCTTGTAAAATCATTACCAAGAGGTTTGGCCAAGGACCAGCTGATAGAAAGGATCCTTGTGAACCTAAGTTGTTATCCTTGTAAAATCATTACCAAGAGGTTTGACCTAGGACCAGCTGGTAGAAAGGATCCTTGTGAACCTAAGTTGTTATCCTTGTAAAATCAATACCAAGAGGTTTGACCAAGGACCAGCTGGTAGAAAGGATTCTTGTGAACCTAAGTTGTTATCCTTGTAAAATCAATACCAAGAGGTTTGATCAAGGACCAGCTGGTAGAAAGGATCCTTGTGAACCTAAGTTATTATCCTTGTAAAATTAATACCAAGAGGTTTGACCAAGGACCAGCTGGTAGAAAGGATCCTTGTGAACCTAAGTTGTTATCCTTGTAAAATCAATACCAAGAGGTTTGACCAAGGACCAGCTGGTAGAAAGGATTCTTGTGAACCTAAGTTGTTATCCTTGTAAAATCAATACCAAGAGGTTTGATCAAGGACCAGCTGGTAGAAAGGATCCTTGTGAACCTAAGTTATTATCCTTGTAAAATCAATACCAAGAGATACATTTTGCTTGGAATTTAATTTACATCATTCTAATTTTCAATCAGATGTCTTGTAAAATCAATACCAAGAGGTTAGGCCAAAGATCAGCTGGTAGAAAGGATCCTTGTGAACCTAAGTTATTATCCTTATAAAAAAAAGTTCTTCTAAATTTTGGAACCATTCCAGGATGTGTCAGATACACAAGAAACCCAGGAATCTGAAGAAATGGAAGAGAAAGAAGATGGCCCTGATTATAATTATCTACTCACTCTTCNAATGTGGCATCTGTCAAAAGAGAAAAAAGATGAACTCTTAAAACAGAAAGAAACTAAAGTTTGTTATTATTTATGATTTT